ATGCCTGCAGCTATTACTGTTTTATGACTTGCGACAAAAAAACAAATTTAATATAATTGAAACAATATAGCATGCTGCTTACAAACTGTTATATAAACATGAATACTCTTTGCACTTAACTTTCTAATTAAGTGAGGTAGTTCAGAACTTCCCCTTTTGCCTGTGGCTAACTAAATCTGAAACTTGACTGAAGTATTTGCCTAACTAAGGCTATGATAAATTGTCCAACATTTTTTCAGACTGTTTGTGAAAGAGCTTGAATTTGTGTTATGATTGGTTTTTATTAATTCTAGATACACCTCAGTTTCAGAAATACCAGCTGGTTTGGAGAAGAATGATAAGCTTGTAATGTAATTTATGCTATGTGCCTGGTGGCATCCATAGCAAAATGGATTAACCCTGAATCACAGTATGTGTGCAGTGACATCACATTAATACAGGTAGTCCTTGACTGAACAACACACATGGGATCAGAATTTCCATTGCCTAAGCAGAGCAGTTGTTAGTCACATATGATTTCACAACGTTTTTTTGTCATGGTTCTTAAGTGAATCATGGCAGTTAAGTGAATTGTGTGGTTGTTAAGCAAATCCATCCCCCCATTGACTTTGCTTGTCAGGAGCTAGCTAGGAAGGTCTCCAATGGTGATCACATGACCCCAAAATGCTTCAATCCTTGTAAATATATGCCAGTTGCCAAGTCCCCGAATTTTGATCAAGTGATCGAGGTGCTGCGATAGTTGGAAGTACAAGGACTGGTTCTAAGTCACTTTTTTCAGTGCCATTGTAACTTTGAATTGTTGCTAAATGAATGGTGGTTAGTTGAGGACTCCCGTATTACCCTTATGTACTTGGGTCCCTATGACTGATGCAACATGGGTTGCTATGACTGATGTCCTTGCTCTGCTCCTGGCTTTAGCATGGATATTTTTTTTTTACTCAAAAGTAACTTAGCAAATATATTATTAATATATTTGCATCTGGCATTAAAATATTTTAAATATTTCTATGGGTTTTAAACTTTAATTTAAAAAAAATTAAAATTAAAGTTTTTTAAAAAAAATCTTGTTTAAAAAATTAAATTTAAAATATTTATGCATTTGGACATATGGACTAGGGTGTCCAAATTGAAAATGCTTTATATAAAATGTCATGTTTCAAATTTATTTTCGAATCCTGTAAATAGAGAAGTGATATAAAGAGCTCCAGTCGTTGCAATCTGAACCATCTCCCATGGTTGCTATTAATTTTTTATAAGTGTTCGAATTACTTGGTTCACAGTTAACCATAGGGTTTTTTGTACTTCATTTATGTAGCTTGAATGATCGAGCTTAATTAATATTCCATTGAATTTGCAATTATATTTTCAAGCCACATTCAGTCATTTCGGACTCCAGCGATTGTTATGGATTTCTAACTTTATTTCTGTTTTTTCAGTCTGAACTATTATTCATCCACTGGCTTCCTTTCATAGAATTTTTTTAAACCAGTCTTTCTTATAAAACTAAAAGTTATTCACAAAACCATCAGCAGAAAAAGTCTCAAAAGTTTAAGGAATTTAATAAATTTCTAGTAGCCCACCCAGTATATCCTAGGCATCTATTTAAACAAGATGTTGTTGTATAAGTTCATTCTGATAGGAACTTAAGTCTTAGTCATGCTGTAGATCAGATTTCTATATCAGTAATTTTGTTATAGTCACAGACCAGCATTACAAATAATTTCACATAAAGTGAAATTAAAAGACAAGATAACAAAATTTGGCTACATTGAAAGAGATTACTTCTGATTGATCCAATAACAACAATTGTACACAAAAGATTAATGTTTCCCAAGTTTTTTGTCAGGTGAGGTGTTACGAGATGGGTCCTTGGGTCCTTATAGAACGTACGGTACAGTAGGACGTGAGCTATAGTTTTGATAGCCAGGGACACAGTCTCAGCTCATACGGGGAAAAAATTATATCAGCCCTCCAAGACTGCTTTGGGAAATGCATTGCAGTGTGCTAAAGTTAATGCCCTTCAGAGTTTGGGGACAGTTATACAATGTAGTTATCTCGCTGCTTTGAAAAGGGGTATGACTGCTCAAGGAAACGTTCTTAGAGCAGATTTATCTTGTTGGGCTTCTAGGTCTTTGATACATTGTTTGAATGCACTAAGTGCACACTCATACTCCATCATTAAGAGTGCTGTTTCTATACCATCACAGAATTGAAATGATAGTTTAGAGAAGAAAGTAATGTCACTTAATCCAGAAGCATAAACTTGAGGGGAGTAATGTCACTTAAGTAATGTCACTTAAGTAATGTCACTTAATCCAGAAGCATAAACTTGAGGGGAGGAGGCATTCCCAGTTTTATCATCCCTGAGAATTGGCAGTGTGTTTGAAAAAGTATGTCAAGAAAGACTCATTGTGCTCTGTACTAGCCTTGATCTACCATACTCTACAGAGCTCTTCCCAATCATTCAGCCTTAGATTGAGTATCATGAGTTTAGGTACACTATCAATCCATGTAAGGACCTCAAGAAATAGCTTTCCTCGTAGATAATGGTTAACTGGTCCATCCACATTTCACCATAGTATTCTAGAAGTGAATATAAGATAAAAACTAGTTCTCTTTCTACTCATTCACTTCACACAAAGCCTTCCTGCTCATATCTTTTTACTCAACAATCAGACTTGGTAGTGACTGACAAACATTGTTGCATCATATACTTAAAATATGATTGTCTCTGTTGTACAAACCCATGAAGTCTGTAATTTATGGTTTAGTGTAAATCTAGGCTAACGGATTTAGTAAATTAATCATGGTTTAATTAACCATGAAGTTATGTGAACACAGCCACTGAATGGAGAAAGGTTTCTGATTTAATTTTCACAGAAAGTGTTTAGCCTTATGCCTAATTTTCCCTGGTGGGAAGGTGATTGCTATCCTATTTAATTAATAATAGAGGGATCACTAAGTTCATTTTAGGTATGACTGAGCAATAATTAAACTAGATCTACACAAAAGGCCAATGCTGCTTTGTCTGTGTTTGTTGAAGGGGTGAGTTATGATATATGACGACTTGCAAAGTAATTTACTGTTTCCCAGTCTCCTGCCATATGGTTTGTTTGTTTTTAGGGAATGTGGTCGAAGTAAACATAATAGCACTAGACCAGTGGTTCTCAACCTTTTTAATGCCGCAACCCCCAACCGGTCATAAGTCAAGGACTAAACCAGTCATAAGTCGAGGACTAAACTGGTCGTAAGTCGAGGACTACCCAACCGGTCGTAAGTCGAGGACTTTCCCTGCCCGGGAGCACCGCGCATGCGTGGTTCCACCCCCTGCGCCGGCCGAGGCGTAGCTGGCAAGCGGCAGAGACAGAGCAGGCCAACCACCAGCTGGCCCAGCCCAAGGGAGGTAAGGCACCCGCCGGAAAAGGTGAAAAAAATGGCGGACAGCCTTGCTTGGCGACCCCTGTGAAATGGTCGATCGACCCCAAATGGGGTCGCGACCCATAGGTTGAGAACCGCTGCACTAGACTCTGCTGTTCTAGAGTTTCTTTTTAAAAAATCCCTTGACTTCAACTCTTGGTTGATTGGCATTCAGAAAGTAATTCCATCTGCAAATTGGTAAAGAAAGATGATTCTTCTCAAAGCCAAATCCTTCTGTCTTGGTAAATCTGATGGCCAGGCCACTGAGTCAACATTTCCAGAACTGTATACTTGTTTCATATAACTATCATTCATTGATTCGTTCATGCTTTTACTTAATTGTACAGACAAAATCTGCAATTTCAGAAACAAACATGCTAGCATTTGTGCAGTTTTAAATACAGGTTGTTTTAAGTAAAAGGAGCCCCAAATCTTTGCCAGTATATGTTTTTTTTCCATTCCACCCTGGTTTCAAGAAATGGTCCCTAAAGACTGGCTTCTTTCCAAAACAAAAGCTGCAATGCGCTGAAGGCCAGTTGTTATGCAGTCAGGTCCCCAAATTTAATCTCTCATGTCTCCTGGCAGGACTGACAATAAAGGTAGCCTTAAAAACTGATGTGCTCATGCCAATTTATCTGCATTTGCACAATACACTGGGCCTCAGATTGGGTTACCCTATCACAGTTCAGTCGCACCCTGAATTTGACCATCAACGTAAGACAATATGGTTGCTTAGGTTCTGCATGAGTGAATTCAGCAAACTACATTTTAGCATTTCTAAGCCAAAATAGTGTGTTACGGGTGATGTCACACTTGAAGTGTTTAGAATGAAACCTCCAGAGAATCCGAGGTCTCTGAAAACGATTAGGACATTTAAAAGAACATCCTTGAAGATAAAGAATTGCAGAACAGATCTGTAGTGTTGCAAAAAAAAAAAAAAAAAAGTGCATCAAGGTATCTATGTAACCACAAGGAGCCAAAATCGACCTCAAGAGCCTTAACCGCCTAATTCGCTCATATACAACGTACCACTTTAGGTCAAAGTAATGTCCCAAGAGAAGGCGGTTTCCCATGTTCCAGTATAGATTGCAGAAGTTGTCAAAAATAGGAAAGGGCGTCGCTTAAGAAAAATACTGTATCGCTGCTTGCTTAGACCAGGGGTAGGCAACCTTGGCTCTTTTATGACTCGTGGACTTCAACTCCCAGAATTCCTGAGCCAGCTTGGCTGGCTCAGGAATTCTGGGAGTTGAAGTCCACGAGTCATAAAAGAGCCAAGGTTGCCTACCCCTGGCTTAGATCGTATGGAGTGTTGCAGTGATCAATCGCGATCCACCGCCGCTTTAACCCGGCGATCCCCGCCGTCCAAGTCTATGGCCTCGTCTAAAACAGAACAGGCTCCCGTCTCCTCTGTCCTCTCCTCTAAATAAAACACAACGTTCCCTGTCAAAAGCTGTAAAGAGCCCCCGAAACGCAGCTTCCGGAAAAGAACCCTTCGGCAACTCTCCTCCGTCTCGAAGCCAGAGGAAAAGGGTCAGGCCGGGGGCGGGGTTTCTTTGACAAGCGCCGCCCACTTCCCTGGAGCATCGGAGGCGCGGCAAGGCGAGGGGCGGCCCCGGGTCTTGGCAGGAAATGGCTCTGCGGCTGTCTTTCCAGCACGGCCGCTTTTTCGTCGGCGGACGAGCCAGTAAGAGGGGACGGGAGTTTGGCGACGGGGGATCGGAGTACGGGGAGGCGGTAGACCAACCCCGAGTCTTCGTTTAAGGGGGGCAAATGCCACAGGGGCCAGCCCCGGACTGCAGCCTCTGCCTGGCCCTCGGGCACCTTGTCGGCTCGTGTCACTCATAAAGGGGACAGAGTCCTGGTCTCCGTTCTTTGGCTGACGTCTCCATTTCTGCCCTTCCTTTTGCCCAGGAGTCGACGTTTCTTCGTGCAGACTTATGACCACAACCGAGCCCCAAATTTCTGTTGCTAAGCAAAACATAATAATAATAATAATAATAATAATAATAATAATAATAATAATAATAATAATAATAATAATAATAATGATAATGATAATGATAATGATAATGATAATGATAATAATAATAAAGTTGGAAGGGACCTTGGAGGTCATCGAGTCCAACCCCCTGCCCAGGCAGGAACCCTACTCCATTTCAGACAAATGGCTGTCCAGTCTCTTCTTAAAAACTTCCAGTGTTGGAGCATTCACCACTTCTGGAGGCAGGTTGTTCCACTGGTTAATTGTTCTAACTGTCAGGAAGTTTCTCCTTAGTTCTAAGTTGCTTCTCTCCTTGCTTAGTTTCCACCGGTTGCTTCTTGTCCCGCCTTCAGGCGCCTTGGAGAATAGCTTGACTCCCTCTTCTTTGTGGCAGCCCCTGAGATACTGGAACACTGCTATCATGTCCCCCCTCTTCCTTCTCTTTGTTAAACTAGACATACCCAATTCCAGCAACGGTTCCTTATATGTTTTAGCCTCCAGTCCCCTAATCATCTTTGTTGCTCTTCTCTGTACTCTTTCTAGAGTCTCAGCATCTTTTTTACATCGTGGTGACCACAAGCTTTGCTCCCATTTGACCACCTTTCCTTGCCACAATGGTTAAGCCAGGGGTAGGCAACCTTGGCTCTTTTATGACTCGTGGACTTCAACTCCCAGAATTCCTGAGCTGGCTCTGGAATTCTGGGAGTTGAAGTCCACGAGTCATAAAAGAGCCAAGGTTGCCTATCCCTGGCTTAAACGAATCACAGCAGTTGTTAAGTTGGTGAATCTGGCTCCCCCTTTGACTTTGCTTGCTCGGTCACAAAAGGGGATCGATCATATGACCCCGGACACTGCAACCGTCATAAATATGAGTCAGTTGCCAAGCGTCTGAATTTTGATCACGTGACCACAGGCATACTACAAAGGTTGTAAGAGTGAAAAACGGTCATAAGTCACTTTTTTTCAGTGCCATTGTCATTTAAACGGTCACTAAATGAACTGTTGTAAGTCGAGGACTACCTGTAATTCTGAGTAGTGTTAAGTCCCAGGTACTTCATAGGACTTATTCTAACGTACATGGGTACCTCTCCCACTATTTTTGCTTCTCTATCTTGGCCCAGGTAAGCTTTTCAAGATTTTCAGATTTATCCCTTATGAGTTGCTGCTCAAGAATTTTTCCCTCTCCCAATAAAATGCCAATATTTGTTCTGTTGTAAGCTGCCCAGAGCCACTTGGATAGTGAAATGTGTGGTACTTCAATTTAATAAATAAACAAATATTTGCTACCCACCTTTGTACCACCAGTCTGGTCAAAGGGTTGTTCTGTAAATTGTGTTGTGAAAGAGGTTGGATTTTTTTTTTTTTTTAAATGGAACTTTTGTGGAGTTTTTGAACTTTTAGTACAAATGTGGATGGATTTGTACTAAAAAAAAATTCCTAGCTTATCTCTCCTTTGGCAAGAAAGGTGTATCTAATAAAGAGAGAGTTTTGTGTGTGTGTGTGTGTGTGTGTGTATGGAGTTTGGAGACTGTGAGACTTCTTGTTGACTGGGCAATTGATAAATAACAAAAAAATAGTACAAATAGTACTATATGTATAAATGCTTCCTTTTGGAAGAAAAATGTAATACAGTACTATGTGTAGTGGAACAGAATTCTTAACATGCTGTTTGATTTAGGCAAACCACATGCTCCATTATATGGGATTCTCACCTGCATGACCCTGTAAACCATGGTACAATATTGGGATACTGTCATATTAAAGATGCCTAAAACTGGAGTAGTTTCCATTTTTAATTAGTGCTAACAGGATTTGAAAACAGCAATTACAGCAGTTGCCCTGCTCCAAATGTGGCCTTGTAAAACTGCACATCAAAGAGAGGCACTTCAGAGTATATCTGTCTTGGAGATTGTGATCACAATGAAAACCTTACTGTGTTTACTGTAGAGAGAGGTTGATTGCAAATGATCATTAATGTGATCATGCGCTTGTTCATATATATATATATTTGGTTTTGTCCATTTCCATGGGCCATTTAAAATCTAGATCTTCTATAACATATATCTTATGTTTATATGTAATAGGCTCAGCTTTTCTGCACAGTTCTTTGGGAAGTAATACCTTTAGTGCAAAAGGAAGTACTGAACCCACCAAACAACCACTTAAGAAGCCAGTAACTCCAGTAGGTCGTTTTGATACACCAGAAGAATCAAATGTAGAAAAGGAGCCACTAGAAAGTAAGTGCGGGTGTGTAAAATATAAATATAATAAATGTTAAAACAGGTAGAGTCTTGAGATGCTCTAAATACCTTCAGAGAAATAGTACTGGAAATTAATCTATGGAATTATGTCTGGAAGATTGTTCAATGTTCTGGAAAAAGATATTGAGGGAGAATTTGAAAATATTTCTACCCCATTGATTCTCCATTTACGTTTTTCATGTTTTTTAACTCTGAGGCAACTTTTTTTTTATGCCCATCTCTTCAGAAAATAAAATTCCTACATGATGTCTTATTAAATCTTTAGTTACTTTACACTTTTTCTTTGGCTTTTCAAATATCTTTTATTGTTTAAATATGAATATACAGCAAAGTAATTATATTCTGTGGTATATAATGTTTTAGACAATATATCATTAACTTTCAGTCCAAAGAAACTACACATGAATGCTATGAAACTATAGGTAGATAGCTTCATATGTACTTCATATCACTTATATAACATAACCTTGAATTTTCTAATATAATTTACTTTAAGAAATGCTCTATTGAAGTACAACAAAATATGTTGGCCCAGATTTATCTCTGTCCTTTGAGTCATGGGCAAATGTGCCATGCAGGTATGGTGTCACTTGATAGGAATGAACATAATACATTCTTAAAGTGTACACATTATTTTTAAGTGTGCTTGTCATCTGCTACTGATGGCTACTTTTTTGCATTACACATCCTAAAAAGCCTGTAATTAAGTAATTGCATAACACGGGAATCATTCCCAAACTGGTTTATTCCCAAATGCTATTGCTTGTAGAACTTCCTACAAAGTTATAATATCCACTCATGCTGAAACTAAAAGCCAACAAGTATGTCAGTGTGGGTTTATGTATTCATATTCATTGAGCTCAAGGCAGTAAGCATACATAATACTCCTGCGTCCGATTTTCCCCTCAACAATAATCCTGTGAGGTGGGTTGGACTGAAGAGAGCGACAGGCCCAAAGTCACCCAGCTGGCTTTTATGCCTAAGGGAAGCCTCAAACCCCCTATAATATCAAACTATTATGTCATTTTATTTTATTTTGTGATAGTTTGAGTCCCATTGATAAAGCTAGAACAAGTAGTCGGTCAATTATTTTGGCTTATATAATAAACAAGGCTCTGTAAAATCTGGCTTCCAATTTTGCAGAAATGACCTTTCTATGATATAAATTTGTATTTTCTATCTTATTCTGGAGTATTGTGGCATTCCTTTCAAATTCTCGTGGTGGTGTTCTGCTTACTTTATTACCGGTGGCAGCCAATCATTCTTTTTTCCTCTACTCTGGATCCACTCTGGGTGGCCCTATGTCCCACTTTGAAGAAGCCCAATAGAAGCATTTCTCATGGATAAACAGGTAGTCCTCTACTTAACAACAGTTTGTATAGTGCCCAAAGTTACAACGGCACTGAAAAAGGTGACTTATGACTGTTTTTCACACTTATCACCATTCCAGCATCTCCATGGTCATATGATCAAAATTCAGACGCTTGGCAACTGACTCATATTTATGACAGTTGCAATATCCCAGCATCATGTGATCACCTTTTGCTACCTTCTGTCAAGCAAAGTCAATTGGGAAGCCAGAATTACTTAACAAATGTGTTACTAACTTATCAACTGCAGTGACTCATTTAACAACTGTGGCAAGAAAGAACATCAAATGTGGCAAAACTCACTTAACAAATGTTTTGCTTAGCAATAGAAATTTTGAGCTCAATTGTGGTCATAAGTCGAGGACTACCTGTAAGCAAAACATGAAAAGCCAGGGAGGCTGCCCATACACCGAAGAGAATATTGTATAGTATCAGATAGGATATTCGCAACTATTCTTTGGCTATCTCACAAATTCATAAAAGCAAGAATAAAACATGCATGAATAAAAACATCACCAACTTTCTTTTATTTGAAATGCATTTGAAAAGCAGATTCTCTTTCATTAAATTGATTGAGAACTAGCAGATAGAAATGCTGGATAATTGTTGCCATTGTGCTAGTAATGAACTGAGTTGCTAGAAATAAGGAAAACTCTTGAACTGAATCAAGGAACAACACATACAATCAAACTATGGATGATACTTGAATACTGTACCTCTGCTATTCATTAGAATTTTTGCATATTTTTCCTTTTTTTTTTTTTAGAATTTCCCGATGATATCAATCCAACGACAAAAGAGAAGGGTGGTCCCAAAGGACTTGAACCAACTCGTTATGGAGACTGGGAACGAAAAGGACGCTGCATTGATTTTTAACTCCTTTTTGGGGGAAATAACATTTGAGTGAAAATAGAACCCAAAGGGGGAAAAAACCCACTTTACCTACATAAACCAAAATCTTCGCATTTATCTGTAACAAAGTGTCATATTTGTAGTATTTAACCGGATTCTCTGTGGATATTTATGGTTAAATATGGTGAAATTGCATTTTAATGAACTAATGTGGATAGGTTCTCTGCTGTTGATTTGGGTGATGCTATGACATTATTAAGCAAAGATAATGCATGAGAAAGTTTGGTAAAAGTACAGTTTTCTTTATAGGTTTTCAAAGTAAGTATCTGACATTTTGGTGAAATTCCATGATGGTGATAAGAATTCAATAGGATTTTATTACTATTGCAATATTAAATGTACTTATTGAAAAAAATATTGTTGAATTTATTTTCCTTATTGAATTTATTTCACTTTCAAAAAACACTTCTATATTAGATTTAATGTGATAAGAACAGTTCATTAATTGGAATTCGCAGAGTATCTTCAGACTTTGTTACTTACAGGCCAAAGTATGGCAGAGGAAGGGATTTCTAATATTCCTTGATTTTTATATAAAATAATGAAGCAATTCATTTTTCCACATTTATGAACAATTTAATCATGATGGAGGGGACTGCTGAATCTTTAACTGTAAAATGTACCAAAATTAGCACATTATTTAGGCCATTTATATTTAAACCAAATACACAAAATAATTCCTAACAATTACAAGAAGATTGTTAATTATTGCCTATTAGGTTTATGATAAACTGTGAATGTGACTTTTTTTTATTCCAACTATTTCATTTATTGTTCCTCTGCACTTAATGAATTGTTTATCCATATATTTAGAAGATGTGGCAGTCTGGATTATGCTATTATTTATCTGTCTAATTCAGATACTTTTATTTAAATAAAAGTTTCCTTATAAAACCTATTAGCTTATTTATAAATAGCTAGAAATGTGAATTCTTAAGTGGAAGTACGTTCAGGTTTTCTGAACATTAATGTATTTTCATTTGTATCTACAGTTCTTAGAACATAGCATATTAATATTGATACAAATATCCATAGAAATTTATCGTATTGAAATAAATCTAGAGACAATGGGTACTTTGTTTTGAATATTCAAAACAATTTCTCCAATTTAACTGCTTTTTCTATGGGTTGGATAAATATTTCATGTTTGGAAATCTTGAGGTAGAATGGATTATATTCCTGCAGCTGAGTTTTTTTTTCACTATTGACCATAAATTAACTATAAATCTTCCAAGATTTCTCTTCTTAAGATTGTTTAGATCATAATTTATATGTATGACCCCATTACACATGATAACCAGTTTTGGTGAAAATTCTGTCACTTTATAAATGAAGTTAAAGTTGACCATGGCCTTTTATCTTTAGAAAAGATATAAATAGAAGTATATGTTTTCTTTTTGCTATGGTGATGAAGTGGAAAATGAATGCAAGCAACTTTTAATTGTACCGAGTTAGTTATTTTATGGTAAATAAAACTTCATCTGTCACAAGTACTTAAGTATACACCATTTCTGTGATATAACTTGGTATCTGATTATGTACTTCATAACCACAACTGAAAACAAAAAAATACATTTTTGTTCTTCACACAAAATGCAATAAATACTATTTGTGATGCACCATACAGTATTTAGTATAATAGAGATTTGCTAAGATAAAATGTGTTTTATGATAATGAAGCATTGGTGCTTAAAGCATTAGAGAGGAAAACAATACCGCCAACCTGCTGTTAAAAGTATACTCTTTTTGACAGTGAAAAGACGAAGTGGATCTGGATACAATACATTTGTCTATGTTGCATAATTTTATTGGTTTGTTTTGTATTACAGGTAGTCCTCACTGATGGTGATTGGGAATTGTTTTGCTAAATGATGAGATCACAAGGTGCAACATCATGTGACCTTGGTGACTTACGATGGCAATTCCCAGTTGCTGTCATTAGGTGAGTCACGTGATCGCCATTTATGACCTCCTGCCATTGACTTTGCTTATCAGAAGCCAGCAGTGAAGGTCAGAAATGGTGATCACCTGACTGGGATGCTGCAGTGTTGTAATTGTGAGCCGGTTGCTGAGCACCTGAATCTCGACTACATGATGCTACAACAGCCACAACTACAAGGATCCATCATAAGTGCCCTTTGATCCGCACCATTGTAACTCTGAGTGGTCACTGTATGAAAGTTAAGTGAGGACTACTTACATATGTTTTGGAAAGAAAGAAACCTTCAGTAATTTATCTTAATAATAATAATAATAATAAAGTTGGAAGGGACCTTGGAGGTCATCGAGTCCAACCCCCTGCTCAGGCAATTTCAGACAAATGGCTGTCCAGTCTCTTCTTAAAAACTTCTAGTGTTGGAGCATTCACCGCTTCTGGAGGCAGGTTGTTCCACTGGTTAATTGTTCTGTCAGGAAGTTTCTCCTTATTTCTAAGTTGCTTCTCTCCTTGATCAGTTTCCATCCATTGCTTCTCGTCCTGCCTTCAGGCGCCTTGGAGAATAGCTTGACTCCCTCTTCTTTGTGGCAGCCCCTGAGATATTGGAAAACTGCTATCATGTCCCCCCTCGTCCTTCTCTTCGTTAAACTAGACATACCCAATTCCAGCAACCGTTCCTTATATGTTTTAGCCTCCAGTCCCCTAATCATCTTTGTTGCCCTTCACTGTACTCTTTCTAGAGTCTCAGCATCTTTTTTACATTGTGGTGACCAAAACTGGATGCAGTATTCCAAGTGTGGCCTTACTAAGGCATTGTAAAGTGGTATTAATACTTCATGTGATCTTGATTCTATCCCTTTGATAAAGCTACAATGATGGGATCCTGACTCTTGCTGTGGGACTTTTCAGTTGGATTTCGCTGGTTTCAAGAACTAGTAAAAAGGCAGACAACTTACAGGGCAACCTTAGATGGAGGAGAATATCCAAACAGGCAGTGAAAATTGGTGGGTAGGGCTTCAATGCAACCAGGTGGCATTTTTAGCATGCTTAGTAATGTCCTTAAAGGTTTTCTGAAACACATTTCCAAGAAAGTGACAAAGAATTATTCAGAAACAATGCTAAATATATCTTCCAACAAAATTATTATGAAAATAAACTTGTAAGAAAAGAATAGTCTTCAGATTACATTAGGGGGTTTAAGGAAACCATAGGCTAAACCAAAAGTTGGTTTGCAGAATTCATGCAATTCTGGCAAAAGACTTAAGAATTAGAAATGTGAAAAGTTTAAAAATGAAATTTGAATGAAGGCATTTCAGTAACAGGACTTGACATGGGGACATAAATGTGGCATTTGTTTCATGATGTCATCATTTCAATTCAACCTAATTTCAGATTGTTGATGGCATTGACCTCCCTCAAGTGGACAGCTTGGCTCTTGATCTTAATAACTTAAGATAAGCTAGGGTTAATCTTGAGTCTTGCTTCTTTTCATCCCCTGATTTTTGGATTTCTAGATGAAGAATTCTCCAAAAGGTTTGAATACTCTTGTGTGTTATTTCAAGTAGTCCTACAAAAATACTACCATGAAAGTCTGGCAGTGTTGGTTTTGAGAATTAACAGTTATAACTAATTCAATCACTTGAAAGCTAAAACACAATGGGGAAGAAATCAAACTCTAATTTCTCAGACTATAGCAGCTTTGGTGATCTCAAACTCAACTTGAAGATATCAACAAGATAACAGGCCTATGCCACGGTACAATAGAATAATTTCCCCAACTGATGCATTTGTTGATCATAATGATTTATTTTATGATAAGGGCAGCCTACCTGCCAGGTTCAAAAAACACTAAATTGCAAATTGGCCAGTCATGTATTAGTACATCAGCTTATATATGCCACAGGAACTCAAAACATTTAGTTTAGTAAAATAAACCATTATTCAATTAATTGTATGTAAGGATGTATGAACAAACTCAACTGCAGATTTCAGTTGAGTAGATTTGCTTGCAGCACATCAAGAAAAGTTTGAAGACTACCCATATTGTGAGAGATTATATGAACATGAATGTAGGCCAGACCTGCTCCTCCTTCCTGGGTTTCATTCTATATAATCAAGAACAGAGCTTGTTTATTTTATTTATTTTAAAAATAAACCTGTTCTACAAGGATCTGTAAAGAATCAAAACAGCCCAGACTATCTCAACTATAAATTTACCGTGGAATCATCTGGAGGATATTATTTTGTCAGATAGTATGCAAAACTCAGACTGTTGCTGTACAGGGGGTTCTATGACACTGTCACACTTCTTTTCTTCATTGACTCAAATGTTACAACAACTGAAGACATAAGACATTATGAGGCAAATGTTCCCACCAATATGAACACAGGAGAATTACTTTTTTTTTTTTTTTTTTGCTGTTTCAGATGATACATTAAAGCTGAGCTAGAAATTAATTGGCTCAGTTGTCAAACACAGCCAATGTGAGAAAACATAGCTCTGGAGTAATTCTGAAGTGATGCAACACTTGTATCTAGTCTGTATCTGTTCTGTATCCAGTTCTTTTTATGCTAAGCTGAACCAAAACTGTAGGACAGAGAACTGATTCAAAATATGTCTGTTGCTTCAGCGGAATGTTAATTGAGGAATATGTTATAGCTGTCATAAGTGTGGGGCACCAGAGAAAATGAGAATTGTAACAACAGTAATGTTGGTTTTATAAGAATCTGAAAAGATCCAGAAAAAAAGCTGAAAAATAGAACGTAAAAGATGGTAACTGTGGAGTCGCCAAGTTGGTCTAGGTTTCAAAGAAATTTTGCTGCACTTATTTTTAACGGATTTTAACTGGTACAGGTTGACAGGTTATAGATATGTATGTGAATATTACAAAGTGCAAAATTTGCTAAATGATAAGGAACTTTTAAAGACCTGTAATGAAAGAAGTTATCAGAGAATATTTGTATATTATTCTTTCCCTCTGACTGTTTTACATGTTTTATTGCTGTTTGGTTTTTAGTAAAAATTATATTATTTTTTCCTATCAAATATATCATTGTGTCTTGCAATTTAAAACTAGTAACACAAAATTTAGCATATACAGAAATATAGGGTTACAAGAATAACACCTGCATATAAACATAAAAATAAAAATCTGGAGTAACCTGGTGATCTACAAACCATGGTTAAATAATAGCAGAATATCATTTATAATATTTATTTGTGTATTTTAAAGATATATTCTATCATTGAAAAGATATCTGGGGGGGGTCCATAATGTTCACAGTTGTGACTACCCTCTCCCAATTCCCAATTGAAGCCAAATGTCATAATTTATCTGTTGTGAATTGGTTATGTAAGCACTGGTTTATATTCACATTGCTTTTCTTCAGGAAATTGTTTATATAATAAGCCTTACCTCCCATCCAGTTACCGTATTAAAAGTCTAATGGAACTTAATGTGTGATAATTTAATTCATTTGTTATAAACCATCCAGGATAGGTGATCTTCATTTTTTGCATGATCCTATACGCTAGCTCCAGTTTTTTGGAAGCAGAACGCTGCAAAATTCTGTTTCATATAAAAGAAATCTCAAGCTTTGCTTATTTAAGTAGAATTTGTATCAGAAAATTCATTATTTGGCTTTTTGGCTATACAGTATGCAGGTTGGGTCACTAAGAGCCATGTTTTTATTTTTATTTGATTTTGACTTAGTGCAATGTAAATGTCATTACAGTAGCTTGAACTCATAATTTATGGTTTAACATTATGTATGATATAATGTTACCATTTTGCAATAGGGCCTTTTGAAAATGATTTTTTTTTTTTTGGCTCTTGGATGAACCCAACTCTTTTACACAATTTATTAGAGCTGTGTTATTTTATTTAGGGTTCTGAGTGAGCCTGAAGAAAAGGGCTGTTTAACAAACCCCTAATTAAAGGCAATTCTTAAAGCAGCACCACTTTTTCAGGCTTGTGCAGAAGCTTGAAACAGATTGGACTTTATTAAAGAATAGCAATGTGTTTCTTCCTCATTATTTTCAAAATTGCCCCAAAAGATGACAAAAATAAACAGGTGCAATATGGATTTGGGGGAATAAACCTGGTAGCAAGTAATATTCTGGAAATTGGGTATTTCATAACTGGCTATGTCTGTGGCAGCCATATTTTGAGCAAGAAGACCTCTCTATGTTGATGTCGTAAGAGGGATCACAAATTCTAAATGTATCCCGAAAGATTGGGGAATGGGATTTCTTTGTTTTGTTTTGTTTTAAACCAATCCTGTTGCAGAAGCTACAATTTTCATGACAAAGAAGCCCTGATTCCCATTCAAAGTGGCAGGGAATTGTGTTGCTGAAATTTGGTGGTGGCAAATTATACCAACTTTGCTCAGATATCAGGCTCTATCTTTATCCCACCAGATAATGACAACTCCTAGATCTCTCATTACTAGGCATACACATACATATACATACATACTGTATATCCAGTACATCTAGCCATCTGACAGTTATAATTCTGTGGATGAATAGTAAAGAACTCTGGACAATGAATAACA